AAGGCCCAAAGAGAGGTTTTCGGCCCAATAAGACTAAGTGAAGAAGTTATTAGCCCAATAGGGCTCAATAAAGAAGTCTTGGTCCAATAAGGGTTTTGGGCTGAGAATCCTTGGGCTAAGGCCCAAAATTGATTGGACTTGGCTTATTGGATCGAGTTTTGGACTTGCATGAGGTTGTTTCAGCTTGAATCATAATGTATGAACGTAGGAACTTAAATAACATTGCAGTTTGAATTTCACTAAATGTAATGTTGCAAGGTTACATAGAGGTAATTGTCTTGTACAAGGATCAACATCTTAACCCTAATTTGCCGGTTGTGACATGATATAAGCCTGACTTATATGTATTTTGCCAATTTCTTTTTTACTTTTGGATTTGAACAAATGATGTTTCTAAATGAGATCAATTACATTTTTATAACTCACTTGTTTTATACTTTGATAGAAAAGTAAGTATTTATAAAAGGTGGTCAATTAGTTAAATTTTTATAAAACACTTTTGGTTATAAAAATACTTTGTGTCAAAACCTATAGAACTCACCAACAATTTTGTTGACGTATCTTAATGCATGTATTCTCATGTTTATTAACAGGTTAGAAAAATTTGCATAACAGACTTTATATTATTTTACTATACCATTGTAAACGTCGATCTGTTAGGTGTCTGTAGTGATTTAGCAATAGTCACTGTCGATGTAATTTATATTTCGATAATAATAGAAGATTTTATTTTGTACTGTTCAATGGATGTTCAATAACTGTGATCACTGATTTACATCGCGCACCTTGGCGTTTCCGCCGGCAGCCGGGGTGTGACAAACTACATGATCTTTCACGTGTGATTTCTTCTTGCCTTCAATATCTACTCCAAACGTGTCTTTTATAAAGGGCATGCTCAGTGAACATCACATACTTACTTCTAATAAACCTTCTACTTTGATTAACCTAGAAACGATATCCCACTTTATCCATACCACAACAAATAAACATGCATTTCGTAGCCTTTGTCTTGAGATTGTCTCTGTTAGTATCCTTGATCATGACATACGAAACATATATGAAGAATCTCATGAATGTAAGAGTCACATGTCGACCTTGCCATTCCTCTTTTATAATCTTGAACCTTATCCAAATTGAGGTTCCATGATTGATTAGATAAGTTGTTGTATGTGCTAAATCTATCCAAAACCTCTATGACAACCTTGCATGGAGCCGCATACTATTTTCCATTTTATTCAATGTTCCATTCATTCTTTCTACAATATCATTTTGTTGAGGTGTCTTTGGAACTGTCGTCATCATCTTGATCTATTCTCAGCACAATAATCAATAATTTATTTATTGCTATACTCTTCCCCATTATTCGAATTCAAACACTTTGATCTTCAAGTTAGTCTCGTTCTCTACTACAACCTTCTACTTCTTAAAGATATTGAAGACCTCAAATTTATTTTGAACAACAAATCTAATCTACTTCTAAACTATTCCTAAATTCCATCTATTTCCATGACGGGACATGAACCCTCGACCTCAAGAAGGAAAGATAACACTTGATACTGCTGGGTTAGAATCCATTTGGTACCCCTTATATATTTTTATATAGTATTTTTATAGCCTTTATATCTAATCACTTGGACAACACCATATTTATTGTCACATCATCACTCACAACACAATATAAACAAATATATTTTTGTAGGTAAGAGGAATAACACTTACATAGGAAAAGGGAGGGGGAGGGGGGATAATAGAATCACACATTCAAATAATATTCATTATATAGTCTACATAGATTATAGATTAATCATTTACAAAATCCAAATGAATGAACACAAAGTATTCATGAGTAATTATACTTAACATCATCCATATTAATAATTTACTTATTCGTAGGCCTGACAATGGAGCGGGTTTGGAGCGAATCGGTCTAGATCCAAACCCTTTTAACAAATTCAAAATCTGATCCAAACCCACTCCGTAACCCGCAGGGTTTTAAATAATCAGACCCATACCCTTATCCACCGAATCAACGAATATCCAAACCCGCCCCGTAACCCAAAGGTTTTTTAAATAATCAAACACATTTTAACTAATTCCTAAAATAAAATGTCTTAAATAAAAAAATGTATACTATATCTTAATACTTAAAATAACATTTAAAAAAAAAATTGATTTAGAAAAGGACATGACATACTCGAGGAATTTCAACCAGAATTAAAAATCACTATTGCAACAACTTTGAATTGATTTATGACTGTCGGTTGTAGTGATAGCGAATAACAATTGCCAATTTTTTTCATGTTAAAAAATGATTAATTGAATTAGAAATGGATATGACGATTTTTGATGATTATAAATTGAATGAAATTATGATTCTTGATAGAAGTCTATAAGTTTAGAAACCGACTTATCGATTCCTATGTAAAAGCGTTTTTTTCTTTGGCCTTTGCCCTTTGAACTTTTGATTGGAATTAAAATTAAACTTTTACAAAATATAAATGTATAATTCTAAAATTTATATGGGGCGAGTTATAAATGGAGCGGATCGGTGATGATCCATACCCGACCCATTTAATAAAAGGGTTAACGGGTATGGATCATTAACGGGTAAACGAATCAAAAACTACGCTCCAAACCCATATAATTCTTACGGGTTTTGATCGGATCAGGATCAAAACCTGCTCCATCGCCAGGTATACTTATTTGGATTCATTATGTATTCAACATGTCATCTGTTTCTTTTGCCATATCCATATTTAGATGTAATAGTTGGCAGCGGCTTGAATTTGGCTAAAGTAATATATTCTTAATACTATCATAATTACTTTTAACTTGTCAACATTGTTTTAGAAAATGCATTCTAGGTCATAAAACTATTTTGGATGTGTTATTTAGTCTGTTGAGGTTTGTAACATCACATCATCGTCTCTCATTGGCACAAATGTAAGAATTTGAGCCCTATTTAACCACGGTAGGAATTGGGCCAATTGGCCATAAGTCCATAACATCGTCACATTGGCCCTGATCCGTTTAAAGTTAGACAATCATCTCTTGCATTTGCCATGTTCTCAAATCTCACCGATCTCATTGGTCGGGTGCTCGATCCACGCTTTGTCAATAATCCTAAAAATTATGTATAAATTGTAATCACACGTGTTAAATGCCATGCCATAATTTGGATCAAACTTTCTCTTTTTTTCCCATGAAGTTAAGCCATGCTGGCAGTGGGCCCTTGTTTAACCAAAAGGGTGTCCAAGAACATATACCCTTTAGCTGGCTTATAAGTCCCCTTCATCTTGAAGCCTTTGCAAAAGCAAGTCTCCCTTGATACCAAACCTATGATCACAAGCAAACTTTATACATTCAAAGATTCTTCTGTGACACTATTTATTCACAACATCTAAACAAGATCATATATATTAAATATAACTCCACAAAAACAGCACCTTAACTGTTTCCCAACTCTAATCCATCAATGGACTACTCCTTTCCAAGGGAGACCTTATGGAGAACTGCCTCAAAAATCACCATTTCAGCGCACCTGTTTGGTATCTTAGCAAACATCCTTATGCTTATTTGGTTGTTGCACTATCGTGAAGGCATGGACCTTGATTCATCCAATCCATATCGTATATTCAATGTAAATCACTCCCATTCATGTTGATTATACTAACTGAAACTTGTAAATTTCGATTAATTAAAGTTATCGATCATCATGCATATTTCTTTGTACAGGTCCACCCTTTCCTAATGTTCTTCGGATTCATATTCCTCATTGGTGAAGGTATGTTTGTTTTTTTTTTATTAAAGTCCAGATGTTAATGCATTCAAATCTTTATGTGTGTTGTTGGAGCAGCGATGATGGCATACAAGACAGTTCCAGCAGATAGGCAAACACAGAAGTTCGTACATATGTTCTTGAACCTCTCAGCTCTTGTTTTGGGCATTGTGGGGATACATGCGACATTTAAGTTCCATGATAAGATGAACATGCTCGATATGTATAGCTTGCATTCTTGGATTGGCATCGGCACATTCTGTCTTTTCATCTTGCAGGTAATAAATATATATATATATATATATATATATATATATATATATATATATATATATATATATATATATGTTCTTTTTGCATCTTTCATGTATACTTACTTTATCAGTATTATCGGTAAAGATTATCTTGTGATTAATCTTCTAACTACACGTGTTTGCTTGTTTCTTGTATCTTTGAATTGGACAGTGGTTATTTGGGTTCAGTTTATTTGTGTTTCCACAAGCATCAGCTGTGACAAGAGCAAGACTAGCGCCATGGCACGTGTTTGGAGGAAGAGCTTTGTTATACATGGCGATATGTGCAGCTGAAACTGGACTGATGCAGAAATTCACGTTCTTGCAGCTCACCAACAACCGAGAAAGTTATTTGATCAACTTTCTTGCTTTGGCTATCCTTTTGTTTGGGATCACAGTTGATATTTCTGTCTCTCTTGGTCGTTTTGCTTGAGTGAATATTGAAGGGTGTGATAATTTTTAATTTGATTTTCGGGTTTGTTAAAGGAATTTCATTTGTATTAAAGATTTATTGGTTGGTTTTGTGTTCCATGACTTCCTTTGTTGTTAATATCGTTTTTACAATCATTTGTACCTTAGCTCCAATCCAACCAACTATCCAAGTCCCAAAAGAGGGAGGTACGATATATATGTAGGAAACCTCTACTCAAGGATAATGAGATTGATTTCATTGATGATTTGACATAAGGAAAAATTTAAGCCTAACATGAGCCCACACTAGAGTATACTAAACATCACCCACAATGAAGAATAAAGAGTGATGTGTGACTAAAAAGAAAAAACATATACACACAATAAAATTGAAAATAAAGCGGGATAGAGGTAACCAATATAGTGAGGAGAAGATACTATTAATACAAGATGAAACTAGAGTAATATGATAAAAACTATGTGACAAACACAAACAATAGAAAGGAAACAACTACCTAGGCCTATACAAGTCCATTATCCGAATTTTTAGCCTCGATCCACACCCTTTTAATTAAGGTCATGATCTCGATAAGAGCCAACTCCTTCAAACCTAACACTATAATCTTTAATGTCACCTTCACTAAATGTAGAAACACTCATTGTATGTCTTCCAACACATTTTATACTCTTTACATTCCCTTCCCTCATTTACATAATAGTTTTGTTAAAAGTTAAATAAAGAATGAAAGTAACTACCCTATTTCCTCTTGATATCCTTATCTTTCACTATAATTCAACTATTGTCATCTCTCTCTCTCTCTCTCTCTCTCTCTCTCTCTCTCTCTCTCTCTCTCTCTCTCTCTCTCTCTTTTCAATTTCATTTGTGTTCAATCTCATGTACATCTCTTCATATGCCATAGACTTTACTTTAGCTATTTCTTTCGATGCCTCTTGTTTGGCCTCCTTATATATTTCTCCATCCTTAGTGCTTGATAAAAGCTCCTTATATCAATTTGTTATAGCTTGAAAGTCCTCATTTCACCATCATGATTCTTTATGCTCCGTAACCTTCCTTGCTGACATCCCATGTGTGTTTTTGGTGACTTCTCTAACGATGCTGACCATATTATCCTATAATTGCTCAATGCTCCTCAAATGAATGACTACAAAAATTTTCTTCTAGAGTAACATTATCCTTATAATTGCTAGTTGCCATACCCTTTAATATTTTCCAAATAATCCTTGGTCTAGCTACCTTGGCTCCCGATGTTAGCTCTTACTTAAGGGTAAGTTCATGAACAATCTATGTTTTGATACACATACTTCCCCATATAACACCTTGTAGTTTATGTACCTCCTAATGTTTCATTTATATACTTTTATGTAGTTATTTTGGGTACAATGCCCACACCTTGGAATATAATTAAGTGCACACACCTCTTTCTAAATAAGGAGCTTGAGACCAACAAATCATGTATGTGTGCAAACTCATGCAATTATGACCCTCATCATTCCTAGTACTAAAACCGAAACCCTCATGCACACCCTCATACATATCAATCTCTCTATCTCTACAAACATTAAAGTCTCCCCCATGACCATTATTATTGGGTTATTAGAGGTCTTAAAGACCATAAAGGCGCAACAGAAACAATAAATATAAATGGAAGAAACAAGAAAATATACCCTTGTAGTCCTTTGAAACCTTCTTTGATCTTAATGGAGAGAGAGAGAGAGAGAGAGAGAGAGAGAGAGTGCTAAAAACCTAAAATAAAGCTCATTTTCATAGTCTCAACCAAGAAAGAAATCAACATCACCTTTAGATCCAACAGACACCATGAACACCGAATGCAGAATTTGAGATTGATGAAAGTGCACCGTGTACATAGACCGATGCGTGCACCTTTTGAGAATTGTGAGGGTTTCAAGAACGAGAGAGTGGCTGCCGACTTTAGGCTTTGGATTAGTGAAATCTCCATCATCAAATCCGACCATTCGGACCATTGACCCCATTATTTATAAGGAAGAGTTTTTGAACTCTTAGGGATAATTACTTTGTCACTCAGTAATTATCTTAAAAGATTTTACTTTCAAATCTTTAAGCCTCTTAAGTCTACAAATTATTTATTAATCAACTAAACCATTAATTAATTAACAAACTAGAGTACTAACTAGACCCCAAATAGTTAGTAAATTTTCCTATATGTCAATGTGAGACTCAATTGCCATGCAACAACTTCGATGATATTTTCAAACCTTATATAAAATAATTAAACAATGATGTTTTTTAACGCAAAATGGAAAGTATATGTTGATGCAACATAGTCATATGCAAACTCTTCAAAAAAAGGTTCCATTTTGGCAGCAACACATTACCATCCAAGAAAGCGTCGGATATCCAACCAACAAGTCTATTCAAGTATAGTCATACCAACAGGAGACCAATATCCAAAACAGAAAATCTGTAGTTCGCTCTTCAATATTGCACAATAGCAATGGCATAGGAGGTGTCTATCAAGATACCAGATGTTTCAATTCGAGTGACTCAAATTGCAACTAGATATTTCAGCAAATTATATGTGAGGTTCAAGCTAATAGGTTCAAAATATGATCATACGTGCCGAATATTTAATACTCCATTCGTCCTAATATTATTATCTACATACAAAAAACACACAGATTAAGAAATACATTAGTTACCATTAACTTTATATAATAAAATAACAGTTTTGTCATTATTTTGCATTTAATGTTCCATTAAATTCTTAGTTGGTTAAGTAATAATGAGGAGAGTATTTTATAAAAATGTTATTTATTTTTAGAAGTGAATTATTATTTTGGGATAAATCAAAAAGAAAAAACAAACTGACGAAAAAGTACTTAAACATATATGAGCCTCATATTCACTACCCCATCTTGATCAGCTATAATATCTTTGCCTTCCTTGTAATACTAGTTTAGATTCTAGTAGCCCTAGGTATCAAATCAGTCCTGGAATTTGGTCCATGGGAATCTTGTTGTTCATCACTATCCGTTAAAATTTCCTCCTCCAATGAATTTTACATGAACACAAAAGTTATGAGCATTGTCGCCTTGTCGGGTTCTAGTCTCTTGCTATCATCTATTATTGTCATCAATCATGCCAACCTCATAATAAAATGTTAACTAATTCAAAATAATAATAAAATGTTAACTAATTCAAACTTTCCTTCTGATAAAAACAAGATGAGCTTTGTTTTTATCGAATTCTAAGTCTAGATATGTCCTGTCTGACCTTTTCAAGATCGATTATAACACACACTAATCTCTGTGTTACAGTGTGTGTGTTTTTCATAGAGGTGCTTCCATGGCGAAGGGTGGTGCGAGTTATCAGATATCTTCAACACCTGTGACTATCTTCGCACATCTCTTAGTGATATCAATTGCAACCCTTGTCCTTGTTTGGCTCTTACACTTCCGTGAAGGCTTCGCTTTCAAGTCTCATGTCAAAGCCAAGATTTTTAATGTACGTTTTCATTAATTAATTAATCACCACGTATATATTATATATGAATTGTGACTAATTCACTACCTTTTGCAGTTGCATCCACTTCTCATGACACTTGGATTCGTATTATTTTCCGGGGAAGGTTACAAATTTAATTCAACTTTTTACAGTTCAAACAGTTCGTGATCAAATATTACTTAATTCACTAATCAGTGGTTATTAATTTATTTATAATGGTATTTGAATCAGCAATCATCGTGTATAAAGCCATCCCTGCAAATCGAAAAACACAGAAACTAATTCATCTGATACTTCATTTTATCGCACTAGCTACTGGAATTGTGGGTGTTTATGCAGTTTTCAAGTTTCATCATGAACGTCACTTCCCACATATGTACACCCTACATTCATGGATTGGTTTATCCACCATTTGCTTATTTGGTTTACAGGTTTACTTTAACATATTTTGTACCCTTGTATATCTGATTTAGTCGAGAACATATAGTAATCAGCATAAACTTATGGATTGCATGCAGTGGCTTCTAGGGTTTTTCTCATTCTGGTATCCGAGAGCAGAATCTGCAACAAGGGCGAAGATGGCTCCATGGCATGCTTTCTTTGGCGTTGTCATCTTCTTCATGACAATAGTGACTGCTGAAACCGGGTTGACTCAGAAGTTTCTTTTTCAAGGCTTATATCGCAGCCAAGAAGCACTTATTGTAAACTTTACAGGATTGTTAATCCTCGTTTTTGCGATTTCTGTGGGACTCAGTGTCATCCTTCCTCGGAGAAACTAATTAGGGTTGTTTTCATTTTTCTTGATCCATGTTTGTGATCATTAACTTGATTTATTCGTGTTTGCTTCTCTTGATTTGTTATGCCTTTTATAGTCGAATAAAGTACCTAATTTCATTATAATCTTTTACCATATATGTCTTTGAAGCCAAAAATTTGCGTTCATACAATGATGCTCTAACTATATTCAATACTGTTTACATATTATTATAATCAACGTTTTACATTCAAAAATTTACCCAAGAAAAAAGATCCACAGGTGGCATCTTCTTCCCCAAGAAGCACAAGGGTCGGTTTTCTTCGCCTGGTCTCGTCAACAAAGCACCTTCGGAGAGTTGAAAGACCACCGCCGATGGTAACTGAAACATCTCCGACGGCCGACGGCTCCAATCGAAGCCACATCAGCATTTTTTTCACTCAACATCCGCCTCTCTCCAACAATGATTTTCGCCCAGCAGCAACAAATCGCGAAAATGCAACCACCGAACCATCTTCTGTCGACAACCGTTCTCGGCACCGGCCACCAAACAGATCGACGTCGACGAAGCACCATCGTCTGTTGACCCCTAACAACAACAACTTCAACGCCCGTCACCACCGTTTCTTGCCGACGGCGAAGCTCCATCGTACCTCGCCACCATCGCTTGATCTCCGTGCCTTGCTGACGTGAGATTTGACGAAAAAGTTCCATTGGCGGTCTCCTTCGTCACTGCTGGTAGCAACTGATTGACTCCCGTGCTCTCAATCGGCGTTGGAAATCGCATCTCAACTCTGGCCACCAGGTGTTCCGTCGTCGAGCGTCTCCTTCCCTGGAGATCGAAGATGTGAGGGCAAGATACGAGTCATTTGCAAAAATAGGGCAGTTAGAAATGGGGCTGTTTTGAATGCCGTAGAAATGGAGCTAATGGCCAACGTAAATATATACTGATCCTCACACCTTACAATAATATTACAATAATAATTTTTTTATAATATGTTCAAACTTTATCC